GAAGGGGCGTGGCTGGTAATGAAGGGGCGGTGTTAGGGAGGAGGCGGTGGAGCCGGGGAGGAAGGGGCGTGTCTGATAATGAAGGGGCGGGATTAGGGAGGAGGCGGTGGAGCCGGGGAGGAAGGGGCGTGTCTGGTAGACAGGGGTTGGCCCGGAGAGCAGGGCCCGAGGGTTGGAGGGTCTGAGGGTCCGGTGGAGGTGGGTGCTCACTCACGCAGCAGCAGGAGGACGCTGGCCAGCACGATGACCAGCGCACCCAGGCTGACGCCCGCGCCCCCCGCCCGCAGCGCGGCGGCCCCCGGCAGGCAGACGCCATCCTGGCTGCAGCGGCACACGGTCACGTTCAGCGGCTGCTCGCGCTGCTGTGGCGGCTGCCCGGAGTCCCGGAGCAGCAGGGTGAGGCGGTGCAGGCCTTCGGGGACCTGGTGTCGCGGCCGCAGGCGCGCATGGCTCACTGCGGAGGGCGCCCGTGGTCAGCGAGGGCCTGCCGGGGCCGCCCCCACCTCGCCTGTCCTCCTCACGCCAAGACAGGGTGCGAGTCCCGAGATCCTGGGCCTGGGTACCCCCCCTCCATCTGGACGCGATGAGTAACCTTGCCCCGCGCAAGGATGCAGCCGGGGGACCCCTCGCCCTCCTGTCCCGTCCCCAGCCCGAGCGCGGCGGTGAGGGGAGCGCACCGTTGACCTGGCTGAGGCTCCAGTTCCGGCTGAGCTCTGGGAGCCTGGGGCTCAGCTGGAAGTGGAAGGGGGCCCCGTGGGGGGGCAGGTCCTCATCCGTGGCGCCCAGGAGGAGGCCGGGGCCCTGGTGCGGCTCACTGCACAGCCTGCCCAGCAGCGGCAGGGACAGCACCGGGGCGTGGTCGTTCACCTCCAGGATCTCCACGGACAGCGTGCCGGTGGCGGTGCGGGGCGGGGAGGCTGCAGGCGAGGGGGCCACAGTTCGGTGACCCCGCCCCAAGACCCTGGCCTGCCCCACTAGTCGCTCGGAGGGGTGCACCCCTCTGACCCCACCCCCCCGGGGGATGGGCAGAGCCCTCGGACACCAGCAGGGGTGCTCACCGGCAAGGCCGGGTCAAGGAGCCCCAAACTGCTCACCGTCATCCTGGGCCAGGACAATGGCTCTGTACCAGCCACCCTTGAGGAAGGGGGACGCCGGGCTGAGCACCCGCTGGGTCTGGATCCGGCCAGTGGCTGGGTCCACTTGCAGCCAGTCTTCTGGGTCATAGTCCTTGGAGTAGCTGATGTGGGGGAGGGGAAGAGTGGGATCTGAGCTTACCCCAGGGCCCCCACAAGTGTGGTCAGGCATGGGTGCACAACACACCTTACACACACACACGCCACATGCACTGCACACACATACCACGTATTCACACATGCACACAACATATGCACACACATGCTCGACCTTACATGCCACATGCATGCACACATGCACACACATGCATGCACAGCATACATGTGCACATATACACATGCATATACAGACATTCCCACACCTGTGCACACCACCCACGCACACATACCTACACACCTCATGTATATACCACACGTGCACACAAATGCACACATATATGTACACACAGCCCATGTGAGTATGATTGGAGCTGGGCAGGAAAGGGGGTGTCTGGTCACCTCACTGGCACCTTCTGTGAGGTGAGGAAACTGAGGCTCAGGGAGGGCAGACGAGCTGTGCAGGGCCCTGAGACAGTGGTGTGGCAGCCTAGGTAAGCCCCAGTCAGTGCCCTTCCCCAGCACCGTGGAGACTCGGGGTGAAATGAGACATGAATGGCCCACCAATTGGGAGCAGGGGCCTGCTGGGATGGTCGTGGCTGGCAGGGACAGACTGTGGTGTGCACAACCTGGAGCCAGGCCTTCCCTAGGGGTGAGGTCAGTCCAGCACGTACGCCCGGGTACGCCTCTGAACCTTCAGGAATTCACACCAGCAGATGGCCCCTACACTCTCTGACCCTCAGAGCCCAGGGGCCGGGGGTGCCCGAAACAGGAATGCAGCTGTTAGCCTCCTCAGCCTTGCCCAGGGCCTCGGGAGCCACACCTCAGCCTCTGCAGCTGC